GCAAGCACAACTACTGGCACTGGCTCGATTGCCGCCTACCACGGGGGCGTGTTCGGCTTACTGACCTCAAACTTAGCCATCCAACAGTTATTCCCAGCAGGGATCGCATGGCAGCCCCAATGCGTCTTGCGTCTTGAATACGCTTTGAAACGCTCATGGTGAGCGCAGATTGGGCAGGAGCCATTGGCATGCTCGTCTCCAACATCCACAAGTCTGACCAAGTTGCTGCGCAACTTTCGGGTGGGAAGAGATGCCAATAGTGCCTGCGCCAACTGGCTCACGGAAATGGCCAGAGACACGCTGGCTCCCATTCCCTTTAGAGAGGTCTTTGTCATTCTCGCCTTGTTCCTCCCGCAGTTGACATTCCTGGAAGGCTTCCAAGCGCAGCAAAACCTGTGGGCGAGTCCGGCGGTGAAGCAGCATGGCGTCCAGGTCGAAATCACGCCCACTGTGGCGGGTCTCCAAGGAATGCATGAGCCTTCCCCACCTGGTGAGCGAGGTTCAGCTGAGGTCCATATAGGATGCCAAGTAGGCAAGGTCTACCGCCTGGTCCTTCAGAATGGTGAAGGAGTACATGCAGTGCTAGCAGTCCTGCTGGCCTTTGCCACACAAGCCAGGAAAAAGAACCGCAATGGGCAGGAATCGCATTATGACAGAGTCAGGAGGCAAAGCAGCCCTAGATCATGGGATGTTGCTCTCGTACCATTCCCAGGAGACTTTGCACCGCTTCCCACGACGCAAGAAACGGGTGCTGCCCATGAGGCACAGTGGAGCTTCCCGCCAAGTCTTCAAGTCTTGGTATCCAGAGCGGTCAGCTTTCAGCTTCTTGCCCTTGCAGAAGTTGGTAGTACGGTCACTGCTGACCATCTGGTGCAAATGGCCACAATTGCCGCCTGAGCACAAGCCCACAGCCCTAGGAATACCGGCGCACATGCCCATCCCATATCAACTTGAATGCTCCCGTGCCATGCTCCAGAGTCTGCACCTGCTGTTTGCACTCCTTGCTACGGGTGATATGCTTACGTTTTGCCCCCCAGGCAGCTTCCTTCTCCAAGGCACTATGCACGGCAGCTCGCACTGACAATGGCCATATCGTCTCTATGGCCGCTGGATGGTCACTGGCTCTGCGCTCGGAACGGTCCACCATTGCAGTCGCCGGGGTTTTCGGCGCCGGAAAAACCCGCTCCCTCACCTTCCTGCTAGCTTGGCTTGCCATAACTACCAATCTCAAGATTGGCGTAGTGCATAAAGATAATCCGGCTGGCAGAGCAATCACCAAGCTTCTTACCTCCTTTGACTTGCAGCCCTATCACAAGGAGTACTTCATTAGACCAGTGGGACGTGAAGAGGTTGAAGCCAACACTGCCAAGACAGAATTTGACCTGCCAGCAGTAGAGGCGATCCATGTTATTTTGGAAACAACAGTGGCTGTGCAATCTTTTGCACACCTAGCAATATGCAGGTATACATATATATATATATATTCATATTTTCCCAGACCATCCATGGGACTGCAATAGTTACAGCCCCATGTATGGCCCCAATGCAAGCAACTATTCCAGTCCCATGGTCTGGGATATGTCGCTCACAAGTCGACAACGTCTTCCTTCTTGCTTCTTGGAGCCTGTTCCACGCGTTGAGTGCCAGATTTCGGGGACCACTGAACAAGTGGTCAACCTGGTGTTTTAGTCCTGGCCAGTCAGTGGATAACTCTTGTGTACACACACATATATATATATATTTGTATAACCTTTTGGGGGACTGGTTTCCCCACTAAATGCTTTACATATGAACAGATGGAACTATCAGTGAGCCATGCTTGTTCGGGATTCAGGCAATTCAATCAATGGCTGTTGGAAAGCTACGTTTCTGCGATGTTCCCATATGCCTATGCACCATATGAACCGGCTGCTGAGGGATGTTTCTTCTCCCGACATCCAAAGTATCACACAGGGAGCTGCAGCAAAAATGAAGTTTCAATTCCAGCAACTTGGGCCATGAACCCAGAATGTGTGTTAAAAATGTGAGCCCATCCTTTGGCGTTCTGGAGACCCAGAAAATCCGGGAAACATTGGCGATCGGTCAATGGGGCGAAGATCAAGTTTCAGATACGTTGAATTTTCAAACTTACTTGGGATGATTGAGCCCACTAAAATGGTTCAGGTGAGTTGAAACCACCAAGTAGATATGAATGAAACATAGTGTTTTTGTTGTACACTCCCTGAAAAAAACACATGGAAGTGTAGTTCACCGCCTCTTTGGTCTTTACAAAATGTCATCCTTTGCTGACCATGCCGTCCACGTAACCATTACTATTCCAGGGAATGTAATACTATAGAGTTTCTTTTGTACTCTCACCAAAACTAACATGGACCTGGGTCGAATGGCACCCTGAAAGATAGTTTTCCTTTACAAGCCAGTGGTTTTCAGGGTCTATGTGAGTTTTCAGCAGGGTAGGTTGTTCTATTCTTCCACGCAGAAAAAACATTTTGACGAGCTGTACAATGGGCGAGCTGTGCAATGCAGGCAACTATGTAGGTTGTTACCCAGGCCCAAACCATCCATGCAACTGGCCTATATACCAATCAGTTTGGGTGGTTGGAGTGGTCAATGTAAGCATATATATATATTCCAGTCCCATGGATGGTCTATACTTATGCAGATTTAGCGAATTGTCTTGGACCTTGGGGGAAATTTTCAATCTGATGTGACAGATATCGAGCATCGAACATGGCGACCACATTTGTGTTTTTGATCCACCAAATGCGGTTCGGTGTTCAAGTGATCCTCATGTGACTCATGTTACGAGGGATTGCTAGAATATCCAGGTCTGTGTGTACGTGACCTTTTTTTGCAGATGTTCTCCAAATGATGGTTGAGTGCCATCACACCGCGCACAGCCATGCATTCGCTGGCGGGCACACGACACGACAGGCCGTTGATTTCTGGGGCGGGACCCGACCCACTCGACCCTGCTCTCTTCCGTTGGGGCATAGCTTTGCCGGAGAATCCAGGCGAACGACGTTGTTTACTATGCCGCCGCGGAACAGACGCTCGGGCCACGCAAGGCTGTCTTTTTCACGCGCGAACGCTCCAAAAAAGGGGGTTCGGAGAGACCACGGTTTTAGAGCTGATCTAGGGGTCTTCTCAAGGTCTTGAAGACATTGCCTACATTAAAACATGCCATTGGTTCCGGAAGTGTTCACTCAGCTAAAAACGTTCAGAGGGTGAACAGGAGTCTATATTCACGGAAGAGTGAAAGATGTCTAGTAGTGTACAGTAGGGGCCATCGCTAGAAGGTTGGAGGCCATCGCTAGTAGGGTTTGTTGGATTGCATGAAGCAGTAAACACCCCTGACACCAACGACAGCTGTGAACTGGGTGATGCGAGAAAAATACGTATACCGTATATACACCATATAAATGCACCTGGACCTTGAAAGGTGTGTCCTTTTTGGAAATACACGTACGTAGTGTCAGGGTACTGTACCATGGTCTATATTAATTGCATAGATAGACAGATAGATAGATAGAATGATATATCTTCATAATTATATGTCTATGTCAATCCCTTCCACCTGTTTGCTTCAACTGGTCCTTCCCCTTACCCATCGCACCACCAACCCCGCGGTCGCCGCATGGTTTCGCCGCGCTCGCTTAACGCGGCGCCAAGGCGCTGGCCGAACGGCGACGCGTTGAAGTACGGCGCCAAAGGCGCAGTGGCGGGGCCTGGGACTTGGTGTGTCACGACCGGGACGACCGGGATGCGGGACTCGGGTGGTCTGGGCCTCGTGGCAGATGCCTTGGTGGATGCAACGAGCATGAGAAAAGGCGTTCGAAAGGATTAGTTGACCCCTGTTCAACCAACGAACCAGCCAGTCCAGCTGGCCTTCCCGCGCGCCAGTCCGAGGCCTTCCCAGCTGAACGATGGCCGAGACGAAGAGAGAGTCGTCCGGGTCCTCAACAGACAGACCGGGACGACTCAACGAGTCAATTGAATGAAGCAGTCAACCGAACTGGGTGCTGCGAAAAAAAACATAGTATACACCATATAAATCTGCCTGGACCTTCAAAGGGGTGTCCTGTTTGAACATGCACGTAAGTAGGGGGCCGGGTATTCCATTCGAGACACCGACATGAAGGTGCTGGTGGGTTTCTTGCTGGCGGGTTTCTTGAATCGCTGAGATCTGTTGATGGTGTCCTAAACTGCGATCCACTTTGTTCTATCAACTCCAAAAAGTGATGTTGGCCTCTTTTGCCACCCAAAAAACTGAACTGGAGGACTGCCATATTGTAGCATATATGTAACGAATATCATATCATATAATGATAGTATAGTAGTATGAATCTTAAGTGCCACCAGCTGCCAGCTGCCTCGTTCACGGCCCCGTCAGGCCGTGAAGTTCGCGGACCACGCTGAGCCAGTGGCCATCTTCATCGCAGCGTGACGTGACGTCGATCAGTGGCACGATCCACGTCCCAAGAGGTACCAACAGAGGTAGCCAGTGAACTAGGACCCGTCACCAGGGGTACCCGAACTAGGATAGTCGAACGTTCGGGTTCTGACCCACCTCTGTTGGTAGCGAGTTCCGTGACCTGGTTTCAGGTCGGTCTCCGTCCTTTTTTTTTTGGGGCACCCAACGGCCCTGGGAGAGTCGAACGTCGAACGTTCAACCTTTGTTGCTACCCGTTGTGGAAAAAATGACACCGGGCGTTCAACCTTCCCAAGGCGTCAGAAGGGGGCATGGTTTTCCTTGGCTTCTGGGGTCTAGGGTTTAAGGCAAGACTGTTGCACAAGTTGCGGGTCAACAACGAGGTGATGTTCCAGGGATATAAACTGGCAAGGTGGATCAGCAGAAGCTTGAGGTCAGCATTTTCAAGCACTTTCCAGGACCCAGATCGACAGATCAGATCGCCATAGCTCGACAGGCACAACCCTCCAGCGGACCTCTAGACGACAGGAGCTTCAGGATGGATGATTAACGGCAGGGAACCATCAAGAACCCCAAAACCTCACCCCAGTTCCCATCACTTCACACTGAAAAGAACTTGGACCATGGAATATGATATATGTATACCCCCCTGAAGACCAACATGGACCCTGAAAACCAATGCTTTGTCGAGGAATACAAGCTTTCAAGGGCCATTGGACCCGGGTCCATGTTAGTTTTCTGGAGGGCAATGAGGGCCATATATGTATAGATTGCAGAAAAACTCCATGAAGATGACCCATCCATGCAAGATGCCTGGGCTCCGCCAAGGCTGCAGAGCTCTGAGCCACCCAAGCAGCTGCCCGGAGGCCTCGTTCCAGCTCGTTCAGCTGAGCCTCGTTCAGCTGAGCTGTCTGTGCTTTCTTCGGTCCCAGAGCAGGAAGAAACGCGGGTTTGGTCAGTCTGGTCGGATGCTGGTGTTGAGATCTTTCAACTCTTTTTTCAGGGAGCTGGCTTGGGAGTTGGATTCCAGGTACGCCAGCTTTGGCAAAGCTCTGCGAGCTCAACCAGTTTGGGACTATTGACCAATCTCAGATCCAACCGTTGAAAAGGGGTCAGATAAATAATGATAAATATGCCAATCCGGAGTGTTTTGGAGTGGGTTACATATCCCAGACACTCCATGTATGCCAGGTCAAACCACCCCAATGTAGGCATATATGGCAGTCCCATGGAGTGTTTGGGTATATGGGTTACTTCTCAAATCCTCCAACCAAGATTCAGAGGCAAACGGAAGGGTAGTGCAAAGAAAGGGTTTTGCAAAAACCTATTCTACTAACATCGTGGAAGGCGTGGGACATTCGTAGAACCCAAGGCTATTCGTAGACAGTTCGTGGAATGGTGGGCCAGTAGGAGAACTGACTGCAACGAAATTCCAGAAACCTTCGCAGAACTTCGTGGAAGGTATTTTATTTTTGATGCACTAACTTCGTATATATAAGCGATTTTTGCTGACCCCCTTTCTCCACACACGCTCCATTTAGCCTTCAAAGATGGCCCTCGCTTCCAATCGTCAAGACCACTGACGACGAGACTGCCGGAGAGGTAGAGGAGGTTGGTTTCGGAAACGACTGATGTTGCATCACGGGCATCTCTGAAAAGTGGTGATTTGTCCAAAAGAGACCACCACATGCAATGAATATCACATCATATCACTCAGTGACCCAGTCAGTGGATAACCATGGATTACTGGAGAACCCTTCACCGTGGGACACCCAGATGCGAACAGATGGATCGTTCCCTAGGAGTGGTCCCAGTCGTGGTCCCCAAATAGATAGAGGTTCGGCACGATCCCCACGAAACAGATATATCTCATGTATTGAAACCGGGTGTCATCTATTTCCCAGACACCCCATGGGACTGCCATAGGACTGCCGATCAGGCCAGGGGTGGGCCGTGAGGGGTCAATGGGGCGGCAGTCCTATGGCAGTCCCATGGAGTGTCTGGGATTTGGCAATCGCTAGTGGAATCACCATATCGGAGAGGGTGCACCCCCTAGCTACCCAGACCCAGTACACGTGGAGGGGATTCGCGTGTCGTTCACGGCACCGCTCGCCGCACCCCACGAGCCGAGTGGGGACGAGACGAGCCTTCGCCAGGTTGGCTCTTGGGAGAGCAGGTGGTCTACTTGGGCGCTGAACGTGAAGAGCACGGTACCAGGCTGGCATCTTGGTGTCGGGTAATGGCATGGCACATCGGGGGGCGGGGAGCAGACCTCTTCCGGCGTTGAGAGATGGACGCCTGGCCGTCACTGGAAATGGTCTAGACGAGTTTCTGGTTGTAATGAGTCCAAAGCCACCGTGGAAGCGGTCACAGATAAGGTAGTCGAGCGCCGCTGAAGCACCTGCTACATGTTGAGGTCCAAAAGCCTAGTTGAGTTGTGAGGGTCCAAATCCTCGTGAACTGAGGTGTTTGTCTCTTTCGTGAGCCTGGCTCAACCAGGCCATACAAAGGTTCATACAAACGACTGGAGGTCGCCCAGGCTTGCGATCAGCACGGGTGGATCAGGTCCCGAGTCTCGGTCGCGGAAACCCCACCGATCCAGGCTGGCCACTGGACTGCGGGGCCAGGCCCTGATGAGCTTGGTGAGGACGCTACGCTACGAGCGAACGTAGCATGTGTGGTTAACCTAGAGAACCAAGAACCCCTAAAAATGTGTTACCCTGAAAAGAAAGAGGTGTTTAAAGAAAGCACGAGTTTTGTTGACTTCCTCAAAACGATACGATTGCCTTTGAGATTCTACGGGTTTTCTACGGTTTGTATATGCATTCGAAACTTTGTGCTTTTGAAAAAAATATGTTTTCGACAGAATCACAATGTTTTTAGTCAAGTGGAGCCAAAACACAATGTTTTCCATCAGACACGACAAATTCGTAGGTTTTGGGTTCCATAGGTAGTTCTGTTTTTGTTTTTTTCTGTATGTCCAACACCAGTAGAATAAGGAGGTCCACTTGACATGACCAAAGCAATCACCGCAGATCACCGGGCTTGGGATGTTTGGTTCCCAGTTGGGTCAAATCTTGGTCAAGTGGGGGTTGGGGTCACCTCAGGGATCGAGGATAGACTTAGCATGACTTAGCAGTTCCAAAGGTGTGGTTGTGTGCAGGGTATTACCCAGACCAACGTGGACCTGCAAAAGGGATTGGTTTTCTTCAGACCATTCTACAAATCCGTGCTTTTGGATTGTAACTTAACTACATCTATCATCATCTATATCACTAAACTCGCTGAGCTTCGGGTGCGCACAGGGTGTGTGTGTGGCTGGGTGTCTTTCGCACGACTCGCGCGCAGGTGGTGGGCCCTGGCGTGGAGAAGTGGGTCGTCTCAGTGGGGCGGGTCATGGGGGGCATCGCCCGGCTCAGTGGGATCCGTTCCCTGTTCGCAGGTCTGGGTGACAAGACCTGACCGATCGCCTCAGGGTGAAAGGGACCCTTCACCGGTTCGCAGGACCGGGAACCGGGGCCGGCCTTTCGCCTCGTTCGGGTCGCCGAACCGGGCGAGTGGCATCTTTTGGGGCGACATGCTGCGAAGAAGGGCAGGGGCGGACGGCTGAGGTTTTCAGGTCGGAAAACGGAGGCTATTTTAGGATGTTTGAGGGTTGTTTAGGGATTCCGAAGAACTTCCTGTTTGGGATCCGCCACTTCAGCAAAATGAGTCATGACAACATGTCATCACATCCCATGACTGGACTTCCAAGATCGATCAACTCCGCCCAAATGACGGCTGAAGTCTCCGAGAACTGTTTGTTGTCAAAAGCGTTCAGTGAGGTTGCAATGTGAATGGGTTTTAGGGAAAGTCTACAGGAAACCATGGTGTTCATCCCCAAAACTAGGGGTTTCCTGCAGATTTCCCCTTAACCCAATTCACTGCCGACCAGCACTTTTGCTGCACACGGGCCTGCCCCTCAAGTGCGCTACCCTATTGAATGAGGGTGTCCACGTCCGCTTGCCCTCTGCACTGAGTCAACCTCAACCATCGCAAGGGGTAAAGCATGGTAAATTAAATCACAAATAGAATGGCAAAACTCACCAAGGCTTGGATCGAAGTGGTATGACCAGCACTGGAGATGGTTTGAAAGTCACTGCAATTGGATTTGAAGGGTTTAGGACACTTCGGCTTTGGAAACCCCCTCCCTTCCTTGGAGTGGTCAACAAACCACCCATCCATGGCACGTCCGCTCTGCAGGTGCTTGCTGTGCAGGTGACGTCACGTGTTTCCCCCAACTGGGGCGAATGCGGCGAACATCGAAACCTGGGACATTTGTTTGTCCAGGTGCTTGGCCGCTTTTTGAAACCAGATGTCTTCCTCCTCATGATTCGAAGTGCCTTTCTTCCGATCATGACAAGCCCTGTACCCGTTGAGTCGCCGGTCCCTTACCCCAGACGCGACCTGTCTAGAACTGCGGAACTGCCATACTGCCGCCCCAGAAAGATGACCCCGAAAACCACCCCTCACCACCCCAGTGCCGTTTCAACCCAGAAAGACCCCTCATGGCACCACCCCAGTGCCATTTCAACTCGCCAGTCCACCAGTCCCGGACCAGTTCCATGAGTCGTGTCTGGCTATGCCGAGGTCGGTGGCGGTGCTCTTCGCCGGCGCCTCCGAGCCCATCTTGACGGACTGCGGGGGGGGGGGGGCGTTCGTCACGGTCGGGCGAAGGGTCGGGAAGGGTCGGAGGAGGTCCGGATGAGTTCGGTGGAAAACCACGGTGTTTTGGTGTTTTGGAACGGGTGTTCTTCGGAAGTGCTTGTCTTTGTGTGTTGATTGATTGATGTGTTGATTTTTCTCATGAATGTAGGTAGGCCACAGATGTTTTCGTGGCCTGCAGATGTGGGTCATACACTTGAGGACCATCACCCCCCCCATATGAAGAGGTGTTTCAATTGGAGGGGGGAGGACGGCCCTCAAGAGTCTAAGCATGATCTTAGCACCCAGACACTTGGGGTGCTGCCAGAGGGGTCAATGTATATAGGCAAATCTTCCAGTCTCATGGAGCTGGGGCATATCTCTTCCTGTCTGAAAAGTGGGAGCAAACGACCCGAGAGCCACGGAGCCTAGGGGAAACGGAGGTTTTTGCGGAGCAACGCAGACCATAGGTCGGTTTTGGGGAGCCCAGGCAGCCACAGGTTTCTACTAGGAACCAGGGTTTCTACTCTAACCCAGTTACCTGGGTTTGCTTAAGATGTTTTTTCTATGATTCATTCAATGATCCCCGTACCTGGGAAGATGTCTTTTTCTCACTTCCTGAAAGCCTCAAATCCGTTTGCGCCTGTGGAACTGCTCCTACCATCCGAGTGGATTCCCTGATCACCGCAGGGCTCACCACACTGGTTGACTGACAGAACGAATGATCCAGCAGTCGAAGGTCCAGTGGAATGCACGAAGGATAACATGATGGACTTGTAGGGAAGGAGAAACGGAAAGTGTAATTACGTATTACTGTACATGTAATTACATGTAATTACATGTATACATGTAATTACAGTTTCACAGGTGAGAGATGGCACTGGCACCCCAAGACTTGATGGCTTAGACGGATGGGGGTCCATATAAACCACCCAGCTTGGGGATTTTGCCATCCATCTACTCTATATTTTCATATATTTCCCAAACACTCCATGTATGCAATGTATGCCCACATTGACCCCCAAAAACCCACTCCAATGCAGACAAATATGGCAGTCCGGAGTGTCTGAGGTTCCCGTCTGGGTATGTGAAGTGTGGCTTGAAGATCTAAAGCTCCTTGGGACTGGACATGGCACCACTTAAGAGAAACGATGAGCCCTGAAACCACTGCTTTCAGGTTCTATCCTTCCGGAAACATTTGGACACCAACATGGACCCCTGACAATGCCAAGCAGTGGTTTTCAGGGTCTATCTTCGTCTTCAAAGGGCTACGTTTTCAGTTGAACTTGGCTTCCGGTGACTCCACACATGTTCCCCGGTCGAACCTCCGAGATTCTTCCCACACGCAAACACAGTGAGTTTAGAACAGTCTATAGATACTCTGAAATGATATTGAAGGTTTGTGTGAATGCGTTTGTTGTTGAGATCGTCAAGAGCAACCTTCCTAGATAAGATTCGACAGAACCACCCGCTCAACTCTATTCCATTCGAAATAGGCATGAAGCGGTTGGATTGCTGATGATGAATGAAGATGGATCTTGCAGTCATACCTCAGCCAGACGGTCCAGACACAAAGAAGTAGAAGACATAATACAAATTGACTTCCAGTATGTCCCTCATGTTGATCCATCTGAATGTCTTCATCATGTTCGTCGCTCCACGAATGTTTGAGCCCATGGCCCATTAGTGCCCGTCGCATTTCGTGGGTTTCAGTGAGGCGGTGGCAGGAAGCACTGATGGTCATGCTTCAGTGTTCAAATTCAAACGAATGAAGATTCGTCTTCGCGAGGCCAATGTGGCACGGCCCAATGATCTTCAAGCATGTGGGGCCACCCGAGCACGAGCCGAGCATTGTCTTCGTGATTCGTGAGTCGAAACTGGATGATAGACGGTGTTTCAGACCCTTTTTCCGGTGCAAATTCCGGTGCGATGTCCGGCCAAACCGTCACACAACGGTGGAGAACTTGGTCACGCAGAAAGCGAATTCTTCACCCGAGTCCCATGCCAAGCTCAACCCGGGTTGTACATCCTCCCTAAACTTTAAACATGGGCTTAAAATGCTTTATGCTAGGGATCCACATATCAGAAGGTACTTGGTGGGCCCTCCAAGCCCACATAAACAGTCTCCAATCCCTAGGGTTAGAAGCTTTTGATAGACGATCGGAAGGCACCAGCCTCATATGATGTTCTTGCTGTCTGAAACTTCACATGTTGATCTTTCCTTGTCAAGGTTTTATTCCTGGAAGTTACTCTATACCAGGGTCTTCCAACTGTATCTGCAGAATGTCTGCCTTTCATGCATCAAACCCAGCCAAGTTAGGCAGACATGTTGCACAGTTGGAAGATCTAGGTATTAATATGTGGAGTGTCTGGGTATTCTCAACACATCCTTAGCTGACTCGCTCAGTTTCAACTTGCTGACTTCCTCAGTTTCAACTGCATATGTTGACCATGTTTGACACGAACAACATATAATTACACCGGCATAGGATAGCGGGTGTATAGGTTTGCTACCCCGGGCACGACATGATGTCATTCCTGGCCATGACATGATGTCATCCCTTGCAAGGCATGATGTAATCCCTGGCATGATATGATGTCGGCGCCTGCACCAGCACGGCACCAGCACCGGCAAAACGAAAGCACCAGCACCAGCACGGCCCTTTCACGGAACCAGCACCGGCAAAACAATACACCGACCCAACACCAGCACGAGCACAGCAGCAGCCTGCACCTGCACCAGCATCAGCACGGCAGCAGCACCTGCAAAACCAAAACGCCGATCCAGATGAAGTTAGAGTTAGAGCCCCTATAGCCTCAGCTCAGTGATAGAGTTAGAGTTAGAGTCCCTATATAGATCCCTATATAGAGTTAGAGTTGAAGTAAGATCCCTATATAGAGTTAGAGTTAGAGTTAGAGCCCCTATAGCCTGCAGAGAAAAAGATCTCAGCTCAGTGGTTCCGGTTCGTCTGTCCGGCCGTTCCAACGGGTCGGAGTGTCCACCAGAAATGTTCGGAGCACGCTGGAGAAATGGGCGGTCGACACTCGTTCCGAACGAAGCTGCGGGAAGGAAGTGGGAGTCGGGAAGAAATTTCGCAAATTCGTTGGCCCTAACTGCAGTCCTTGACTTGTGAAATCTGGGGCTATTTGTGACAGAACAGTGCAGCAACCAACGCGGTTTGCTTCGCCGAAGTCATGCTCTTGTTTCGCTGAAGCCAGAGGGATCCCATGGGCGGTTTGAGGGACTTGTCGGGCGATGTTTCATGGCGTGTCCGGAAGTTTTTTGACATAGTCTTTTCACAAAACCCCAGACTTCCAAGACTTAAACACACGGAACAGACGTGGTTTTCTAAAATCCTTAGCACGACAGCTGGATTTTCGGGATTCTATGAAGTGGGGGACCACTGCCGCGTTTCGCTTAGGCCCAGCCCTCTGCTGGGAGCTCTGTGGTTCCACCTTCAAAGCCTTGCCTGAGAAGGCCACCGGGTTGGTTTGTGGAAACACCGCGGCAGATCGGATGGAACGTGGGAGAGGCCGTTCGGGCCGTTCGTTGGGCACGGTGGAACGATGCTTTGACACCCAATGGTCTATGTGTTGGTTGGAGGGACTGAGGAACTTGTAGTCTTAGTCAAACCTGCGACACCCCCCAAAAAAAAGTGCAAACAGACACACTTCCTGGAGAGGCCTTTGGGGTCCTTCTTGAAATGAGGCCATTGAGGTCATCAAACCTATTTGGAGTCTCCATGTCACTTCACTGGGAGCTCGAGGATGCTAGTTACTCAGTCTTTCGGGCCGTCCATGGCAGGGGTCGGACCTTCTCTACCGAAACGTAGGGAGGAAAACGGGCCCGAAGCAAACCCTATGTGTTGGTGAAGGAACCCGGATTCTTGTCGAGTTCTAGCAGTAGAAGAAATATAGAGCCCACCCAACAGGTGTCCAGCGGATTCTAGCAGTAGACACCATGAGGTGTTCAAGCAATTGACATATATATATATATATATATATGACTCTTGATATCGCTTGAATTTACCCTCTCCCTTTGAATTGAACAGCCTCTTCATATTCCCAGACCATCCAATGTATGACATCTTTATCTACATTGGGGTGGTGGTGGTTTGGGGGGTTGGGGACCTTGGGGCAGAGATGCCAGTCCCATGAGTGTTTGGGATTGGGGGGGGCGGTCCCATGAGTCTTCCTGTTGCCGTGCGACCTCCTGAGTCCCCAAGTCGTTGAGACATGCTTTTTCCTTCCTCCTCCGCGGTCTCGGGTTCTTCGCGGCCGACGGTCGCGCCCGCTTTTGGCCGGGTGTTGCTCCCTGTAGCTGGTGAAGATGTACCAGACACGACGATGGCCCACCCCTGGCCGTTTCTCGGCAGTGCTATGGCAGTCCCATTCGTCGTGTCTGGGTGTTTGATTTTTTCCAGGTTCCTGGGAGCAAATCCGATCTGCACCCGACTCTCGAAGAAGGTCGAAAACGAAGAAGGTGCCTGTCTCATGCAGACTTCCAAGTGGCAGGGGTTGACCTGTGAAGTGAGGGTGTTGGTTTAGCAAGGTTGCCTTGCTGAATGCTTTAATTGATTTCCCTGTTCAGCATCCGTATCGGCTCCCAGCATCGGCGACGGGCTTTCGAGTGTGTGTTTTTGTCCAGAGGCTCGACCCTGGTTGAGATGACCAGGTCATGCCTCTCCTAATTTACTATGTTCTTTTCCCTATGGGATCCTATCCCAGACACGACGAATGGGACTGCCATAGGACTGCCGATCAGGCCATCCTTTGCTCGCAGTGTCTCGCGCCGAAGCGCATGAGGTTCGTGCCAGCTGAGAAGCGCATCCTCAAGGGATGTGCCCTTAGCCTGGTGGCAAGGCCCATGCTGGGATGCGGGGTGTGGGGGATGCGAGGGGAATCTGTGCAAAGGTATATATAGAGTCTTTGCTCTGAATCAAGACATTGAAATTGCTTGCATGAAGATCATGATGTTGCTTCCAGCTGTCCAACAAATTTGAAGGGACAGCAACAAAGGGCATGTCTTGGTGCGAACTGAACCCAGCCGTGGTCGAGATGACGCCAAAGCCGTAGAACAGTGGCCAACGATATAACCGGCAGACGATCAGGAACCCACGCCAGGGCGAGCTCTAAGTCTTCGTTTGTTGAACAATTTGCAGTGCCTGTGGATTCGCAAGGTTTTTGCATTCCCTAAGAATCCTTGGGCCCTTCATATCCGAATCGAACGCTTTTCCATTGTATCGGGCTCAGTTTCTTAGGGTTTGAGTTGTTTGATGCTGGCAAATCTGAAACATTATGAATCATGTAACAATAACAAAATAACGTGATGCTTTTGGAAGCTAGACCCTTGCCTTCTTTACAATCTTCAAATATCTTCAATATTTTAAGCTTGAAGAACGTTTACCTTTTCGCTGGGTTAAAGAACCAAGTGCGACTGAGCTAGGCGGTTGGAAAATAGTCAGAACTCTTCCGCTGGACATCAACTCAGTTGAGCTGACTTTCCTACAAAGGCCTTGTTACAAGCAACTCATTTTAGCAGTGCCTTTCGCCTTTTCCTTGTGATTTGCCAGTTTCCAGATGCGAACTCTGCAATTTTCACTCCAGGGCGTCTGAGATGCCGTCTGAGACGGGCGATCTGCGGCGTTTTTGGAACGCTGAAACCATATTGGTTTGAACTGGGTAATTGATTGATCATGAATTGGAGATCAATGCATTTTCACATATTCAAATTCCCCCGACCCCCGAAAACGGTCAATTGACAATGGTTTGATGGTCCATTTGGCGGTTAATCATTGTTAATCAAAATCATTTAGAATTTTTGAAATATCTATCTTCACAATACAATTATGTTGACCTATCTAGATTATTAAGCGGTTGCATACCGTTGTACCATAAAGAAATAATTTCACAAGAGAAAAATCTAATAAACTATAAATTTTAAATGTAAATATTATATGATTAATATAATTAGATAAAATATATATATATATATATCAGGAATGTTTAATAGGTTGCTTGGAGATCCTAACAGGTGGTTTTTGGGCGCTTGTTGTCACTAGGAAGCACTTGTTGGAGGGTATTGGTAGATATATTGTGATATATTAATATTGATAGATTTAAATATATAAAAAAAAATATGAATAATTTTATATGGACGAGGTTATATATTTACGAAATTGTAGTATAATATTTATAAATTAATTGTTAGATATAATATGATTAAATATTTTTTGATGAAATATATAATAATTTGTAATTTTATTATTTGATTGATGGGTTTAATTTATATAGATGAAAAGAAAAAATATATATAATTTATTTTTATATATCGATTTAGATATATTGATTAATTAGTCATATAATAATATATTTGTTTTAATATATTTATTTGTTTAAATATTAATATATATTATTCTTAAAATATAGATTTTATATATATTTAAAAATTATGGAATTTATATAGGGATTTATTTATTGATTAATTTTTAAAAGAATTTATTTATTTATTTATTATTTATAAATGAATTAATTATAATTGGGTATAATATATTTCTAAAATATTAATGAGATATTAATATTATAGATTTATTATGTATTGTTTAAATTATTTAGAAAAAAAATATTTTGATATATTATATTCCGAAAATTAATCGATAGGTTAGCTTGATATTTTTAAACGAGCAACATGAATTAAGGGGGGGGCAGGATGCGAAGAGAATTTTTGAGGAATAATATTCTAAAGGCAAAATTAAATCTAATGAAAATTGGATTTAATAATATAATGGATGTCGAATAATTTATTAATAATATTATGAAGGATTATGGAGATTATTTTGAATGGATATTGAGCATTGGAGTGAAACAGGCATCTATATATAGAGTAATTTTCTTATATTCTTTATTGTATTTGTATCATTTCTTCGGTCGAAGGGATGTTGTTCGTGGCGTCTACGTGGTGCAGCTAGATAGATATAGAATAGATAGATAATTGGAGAATTGATTTAATAAGAAAAATATGTTTGGAATATAAATAAATATAGTATTATATATATAATATTTTATTTGGTTTTGAGGTGCCGATTGATATGATTTTATGGATAAAGGATTTGATTCGGATATTATTTATTTCGATTGATTTAAATATAGGAATTTTATGATTTTGTAGTATTTTTTTTTGATTCATGTTTCGATTGCGATGGATTGATGCCTTTATTTTATGGATGATAGATTTGTTCGATTTTTTTAATATTAATATTGAATATATTTAATAATATATTTTCTTGTATTAAAATTAGATGATATAATCGTGTTATTGGATTTGGGATTTAGTAATGTAGGTATTATTCCGATTCCTTATGATTTTAATATATATGTTTTTAATAATTGTTTTTTGGCCTAAGATTGGTTTTATTTGTGTGAAATATTTGGTATTTACGAAGGGACGTATGAGCGCGGACGATTAATTTTTTTCCGAATTGATGGATCTCTGTGGCAATTATTTTGCTAAGAGGTAGAGATTAAGGACGGAGGAGGAGGAGGAGAAGAATAGCCATCAAAATATATTTTTATATGCAAGGGATAGAGGAAGCCCTTGTGTTCATCGGATTCGGCTTGGGACGAAGATGGGAATTTGATTAACAGAAATCCAAAATTGATTTTACGTCCGGAAAAGCAATTGAATTAATTTCACCTCGATAAGACCTTTATTTTCTTCGTTTAGGCAGGAAGAGGCAGCATTTTCCCATGGATGTTGAAATTTTCACGGGATTAGTATGCCCAACGGGAATTAGGATAGATTACGAAATTCCTTCGGCAATATATGATCCAATCAATTTTCGAGGAAATGGCTTCTAGGGCGTCGAAGCTAGCTTTCGAATCAACCGACCACGAATTGATTCAGGCCTTTCAAACCAAGCAGATGTTGATTTTCACCAATGGCTGGAATTACTTGCAGTGGGATCCAAGTGCCAAGAGTTTGAAAGCGGCAACGAAAGTTCCGCTTTCTTCAGAAGAAACCTCAGCTTTGATCTAGAAGATCCATGGCCTTGCAGCTGACAGCGATCTGATCCTCCGTTTCTCGGCATTGAAGCCCATGCCCTAGGATTCGCCTATTAATTAAGGATATGGTGATTGTGCTTTGACACCTGGATATATCCCTCCGAGGTTCAGCAACGGACCTTCACGATTCCTTGATGAAAATGATCGGAAGCGGATTGATGCAATTGATAGTTGTTCGCATCCGGCCGTCGACTTTGCAACGATCGCCCCTGGCTCAGGCCATTGCTGCTCGATTGAAGAGATGAAATCGGCCATTTTGGCTTTGACCCTGGGGAATGACAGTGTTTGCTATATGAATTGGGCTCTTTTGGCCGAGCTTTGGGCCTGTTGCATGGATAATAAATTTGATTGGTTGGATATTGGATTGTGGTAGATGTCTTTGAGCCGTCTGCTTGACCAGATTTCATACCTGCAGCTCCTTGCTGCCGAAGAGTGTCTTGGACCCCTTTTGAAGCCTTGGTTTGCTTTCCATGCTGCGGGGCAGCAACATGATGCAGCTGAATTTGTAGGCTGGTTGCGCCAAACCTTGCACAAGGGTTCGTGGGAGTATGGAAAGCCTATTCCCATATGGGAAGCAAGGTTTGAGGCCTCGACGGAAGATTGAGGCCTGTTTTATGCATCCGTACTATTCCAGCAGAGGAAACAAGACGACTTCACGGTACAAGATCTTGCATGACCAGAATCCATTTCATTATGGTTTTTACGCATTAACCACGACAGTATGCCTACAAGTCAATAAATTCCCATGTTTAGGAGCAATCCATTCGTTGGAATCGCTTGCCAATTCAATTGCCTTACTTCATACAAGCTCATGGCTGGATTATTCGATGGAAAAATGACGAGGAACCTCAGAGGGACCATTATCAGGCCTACCTTCGCACCGGAGGAAATCGATTCCTCATATATGATTGGACTTGTGCAATTCCCTGTGCATATAGCCCGGACTTGGATCAGGATTTGTTCCTGATTTGGTTGGTTGATAGAGACCACCTCATTGATGCATAGAAGCGGTTCGTTCCCCGATGTTGAGTCTTTTCCCAATGGCCATTCCAGCTTTCGTTTTCGACTATGCCGTCCGGGGCATTAGATGCGCAAGACGCAGCCGACCAATGATTGAAGCCCAACACGGGCAGAACCCTCTCTGTCGGAAATGAATAAAAATAAACCAAATAGTAATATATATTTATAAACATTTTGAGCAATTATTATATTGAATAATATATGAACTATATTTATATAAATAGATTTATTTAAATATATTAATTTGTTTAATTATTTCATAAATACAAATAAATATATATTATTTATGATTTTTATGGGATATATGGTTTTTGTAGTTGAATTTTTTAATATTCTATATATTTATTTATCCAATGATAGATGAATTCGAAAAATATTGATTGTTGTTCATTTTCGATGGACAATATTTAATTAGATTTCCCGACAAAAAACAACCTCTGGATGTGATCCATATTTCAATTAGAATGATTATTTTTATTAATCATTTATTTTTTTATTCCTGCTGTTGTTGTTGCTACTGCAATTATTATTCTTATTATTGTTACTATGTTATTGCTCCTCCTCCTCCTACCCCTATTCCTACCCCTATTCCTTTGCATTCCTATTCCGATTGCAGCTGCTGCTGTTGCATTTTTGTTATTATTGCTACTACTATTATTGTTATTATCATGGTTATCGCCATCACCACATATGAAGACCGCCACTTATCATGATTTTCGTTTCATATTTTTTATACATCAGATCGTAATATTGAAAATTGTTTTCAATAATGTGTAATAAATTATATTTTCATTCCATAAATATTAATGATAATCAAAAATATATCTTATAAAGAATTTAAATGGACGATGTATAATCTGATTGAGAATACGGTGATAATCAAATCGAATATCCAAAAATATAATCGATATATATTCAGAATGAATAGATATGAATTGAGGGGATAATCTTGTCGAATATTTATTTGTTGTTGATAGATTGCAGATTCAAATTTATTAAATTCAATTTGGAAAATGGGATGAGTATAAATAGCACGAAGAATCCGGATCATTTTTCGGGAAATATTCATTTTGTTAAAAAAAAATCTAATATGCGAATACGATTGATTTTATCAAATATATTTTGTCAATCTAAGAATATCATCAATAATTAAAATTCATGTCCATTCTATTCTGCGGCATCTTAGATATTCCTAGCAAAAAAAGAGTTGTAGAATAAAAAATGCGCATCTGAATCTATATTATATCCGAATGAGAAAAAGATCCATAATTTCAATGAATGGATTTATTTCAATAAGGAAATATATCGATAATTCGATATATCCTATATGTTATTTCTTATATAGAAAAATATTGATAATTATTATATATTACATAATCATATTTATAAAATTGAAGGAAATATAGATTTTGATTTGATTCATTGATTTAATTACATTTCATTCTAAAGGGGAATTAAAAATCGAAATATAGTATTTCTATATATAAATCGATTTTTAAAATTAAGAAATTACTAATATAAATTCCATATCATGTTCTTTAAATATATTTATCTATTATATGTTAATTTGTTCATTAATCGAAACATCGAATATCTTTCAATTTCCTTAAATAACA